CAACAAATCTACCATTGCCAGATCTACTATTAATTAATCTACTATTAATTAATACTACTATTAATTAATCTAATATTAATCAATAAACTGGAGAAATATTATATGTGATGTTAATTGTGTTTATATTATAATTAAAGGATGTATAGCCATGCATGTTAATGCATACACATTGGGTTGTTTCCATTCTCCCTAATTTTCGCGAGGAAGTCACTTCTCCCTAAAATTTCCCCCCAGGATGAGCCCTGAATAATCTTTATTTCGCTTGAAAAATTATAGAGTGAAATAAAATAAAGTTTTATCAACGTTTTCAAAACCCCGTTATTCATTTAACGACAGGGGCGGAGCCATATTTAACACAGTACGTGTAACGTCACACGCACTCGTCACTGCATTTGAAATAAAAATGAGCGATTATTTCATACTATTTCACGTTAAAAGGACATCGAGCTCGCTTTGAGGCTTTGCCTTTTTCATATTAATTTCACGGTAGAAGGAAAGCGAGCTCGCTTTGAGGCTTTGCTTTTTCATACTATTATGCTATAAAAATTAACATATATAAGACACTAGATAATTTCCCTTTCAGTGATTATTAACATAATTTTAGATTACTAAGCTAAAGCAGGCACTTTAAATTTTCCCAACCATGTTAAACAAAAATGAATTTATCTGCAGACTTTTTGACTTGAAATCTTAATAAAGCTTGTCTCAATATTTTCACACCTTTTTACATTAATTTCCCCGTTTGGTATTCGTCTTAATCGTTTCTTTTTTAAAATTTTGACAGCTCTTCTGCAGAGCGTTTCAGTGTCAAGCACTTCCTTCACTTTGCCATATGAACCCTCTCCGAGTAAATCTCCAATCAGATATTTTTCTACAAGTTTTGCACGTTTTCTTCTCTCATGGGACCCCTTTTTGCCGAGCCCCCGGTTAAAAAAGTGAGCCCCCCTATCATCATCATTCAAAAAAAGAAACCCTCATCCCCCCCCCTTGAACCCGCATTCCAAATGTTTCCCCACCCAAGACCAAAAAGGGGCTAAAATATGGGGAATTTGTCACCCAAATTCCCAGGGAAAAAGGGGGGCATTACCTAAGAATTCCCCCCCCTAAATCTTTAATTTAAAATTGCTTATTTGTCTCCCGACTAAGATTTTCCAGCACCCCAAAATTTTTCCCCGATTTTAAAAAAAGGGCCCTGAAAATTCGTGACACTTTTGGGGGATGTACATTCCCCCGGTTCCCTTTAAAATTGGACTCTTTTCCATAACCTATAAAAAAAAACAAAGAAAAAAAACATTTTTCTCCTTTTTGGGGAAATAAATGGGTTTAAATAATGAAAAACCCAATGACGGGAAAGCGTCAAAGGGTTCCCCTTTTAACCCCCCGGACCCCAATTTGTTAGAACAAAAATTTAATATTCACAGAGTGAACAAAACAATTTTATAAGCATAAAATTGATAAAAAAGTAACACAGGGAAGTCCTTAAATATTAGACGATTAGAGAATCGTAAAATATATCATTTACGATTGAGGTACATGGACTGGTCACATAATTGAATTAGGCCAAAATCTTTAGTTGTTTCAATTTTTGGCGATTTTTTGTCGCAATCCGAAACACAGACATTGAATAATATATATACCTGCATGATATGTACAGCACTCACTTTTTACAAACCCAAAAGAAAGTGGTTCATTTTAAAACGATAAACTCCTATTTAAGCAATGCATGGTATACATGGATAGACAAGGGGTACAAAGTATACATACAATATTCCTGATTGAATTCAACACCTTTGGATATTCCCCTAATTTCGTTAACTATATATATTTAAGCACATTCCACTGCCGGCCTAGAGTAAGGAAATAATTTAACTGAACAAAAATAGGTTTAGCACTACGTACGTTAAATCTCCGAAATAGAAATAGCCTGTATTTTATTCATACAGTAGATTAAAATTACCTTACATCTCACCTGGGACTTAGAATACTTATTTATGTCCCAGCTTATTACACACGTCTAGAGAAAATACATGGCCATGATGATCATGTCAAATTTATCATTTACATTACGCCCCAGAAACAAATCAATTTTTACTTCTGTAGAAAGGGAACAGTACCTGGTAAAGAACTAAAATTTAAACGAATTCTAATAATAAAGAAAGCAATATATAAACAAAGTAGTATTTTTTTTACTTCCTTACAAACTAAAACTGTACTTATTTTACTACAAAAAGACAACAGAAGAAAAAGATGGTTCGGGAAGTTGGACAATGAATATAAAAGTACATAAAAATAAAAAGCTTTTGGGAAATAAAAATAGAATCATTTTTGGGACATCTAATGGGCTTAGACCTTTAGACTAGCAGCTGGTACATGATAATATATTGTGACCAAGCTTGTAGTGCTATTTGTACATTTTGCAGCTCATATAATTATGAGCTCGTCACGACAAAACCAACATAATGGGTTTGCGATCCGCGCAGTCTGATCAGGATCCATGCTGTTCGCTATCAGTTTCTCTACTTGTAATAGGGTTTGTAAGCGAACAGCATGGATCCTGATCAGATTGCGCGGATGTGCATGCTGGTCTGGATCCATGCTGGTCGCAAACGCATTACGTACGTTGGTTTTGTCGTGACGCAGCTCATGTATTTTAACCCGTTCAAAACGTCTTCTCCAGATGTTCCAAAATAATCAAATTCAATCGGTTTTAAAAACCAGCAAGTCTTTATTTTCAAGAAGGGGTAATTAATTTTCAAGAAAAGGTAGCTGCTTAAAGACAAAGGCGGTTCCCACTGGGTAACCTCGACTATGTCTTCAAGCAGCTAACTTTTCTTATCCTTCTCGGCACTTTCCGTCAAATTCGGATGGCAAGTGATAATTGTTAATCGGCGAGGATTTCCGAATGAAATCCAGCAGAAAACGTGACAGAAAGTTGTTTGTATAATAGTATTAAACTTATAAATGATAATGCAAGTAGGTTGGTAAATATTTTGCTATTCCGAGATTTTAAAAAATAGTGTTATAATTTAAATGCTCATTTTTACTTATGCATTGTACGACTTTAATCGAGTCTAATCAAAGCTGGGGCTTAAGCATATATTTGTATAAGCTCACTTCCTTTGCATTTTTTTCAAAATCGAATTTAGAGTTCATAACATGGATGGTAAATGAGACAACTTTATAGTTACATTCGGAATACCTCGCTGATTATTCAGAATCACCCTTTGGAAAGGGCCGAAAAAAAGTTGCGACTTGATAAAGTCGTAAGTTTTCTAGTTATTGCCCTTTCCGGAGATAAATGTTCTTTTTGGTATGACTTTATACACTGAGGCAATACCGATCAGTGTTGACATTCATATCTGACTTTTCGTCTTCAATTAGAAGTAAGCAAAGTGGGAAATATAATTATAATATCTGATGCCTAAGAAAATACATAGAGGATATTCAAGTTTTTTCTATAAATACATGATTTATTTTCATTGAGTGGTATGAAAATAAATATTTCATGAGTGGCGGTAGCCACGAGTGAAATATGGTAATTTTCATGCCACAAGATGAAAATAAATCATGTATTTATAGAAAAAACTTGAATTTTCTGTTTATTATATACATTTTTCTCTTTCTGGACATTAAAATTTGCAAGACTTTCCCTTAAATTTTGAGTACTAGCAGAATTAAAAAGAAAGTAGTCCGGCAAGACACCAGTGAAAATACGGAAAATATGTTTCACTGCAGTGAAAAATAAATTTTTACAGTGAAAGTACGGAAAATGAAAATACGCATTTTATTTCATCAATATTTTTCAATATTTCATTTAGAAGTATATAATAAATGTAAAATACATTTATTATATACTTCTAAATGAAATATTGAAAAATATTGATGAAATAAAATGCGTATTTTCATTTTCCGTACTTTCACTGTAAAAATTTATTTTTCACTGCAGTGAAACATATTTTCCGTATTTTCACTGGTGTCTTGCCGGACTACTTTCTTTTTAATTCTGCCAGTACTCAAAATTTAAGGGAAAGTCTTTTAAATGTTATCGCAAAAAAGAGAAAAATGTATATAATAAACAGAAAATTCAAGTTTTTTCTATAAATACATGATTTATTTTCATCTTGTGGCATGAAAATTACCATATTTCACTCGTGGTTACCGCCACTCATGAAATATTTATTTTCAAACCACTCGATGAAAATAAATCATGTATTTATAGAAAAAACTTGAATATCCTCTATGTACATGTATATTGGTATGAAATGATACTCAAACCCCGAGTAGTTTAAAAAATCGATGTTTTTCAATAAAATTAATACCAAAATCAGCTATCATCCATTCCGCCTCCGGGTCAAAATTAATGTACATTTTGTTGTATCCAATGATGTCATGAACTGAAAATATTTGAGATTGTCAGCAAACTTTAACATAAAGTTAATAATAAAAAAACAGGGGCATATTTCTGTCAAAATGCTTGATAGAGTTACCTCCTCCTGTCTACAGGTTGGGTTATGATGGTGAACAAGTGTGCAAAGTTTCGAAAATATTTGAGGTGGTACACAAACTTATATAAGTGATTACGCCGACGCTGACGCTCGGGTGACGTGGATAATTATCTGTACTTATTCTGACCGAACTAAAAATATGTCTACCTTGGCCATTTTAAGGGGATCTCCGTGGTGAAGTGGTAAATTCAGTCGGCTATTATATTGCAAATGAATCCCCTGCCGCTTACCAGAGTTGGTTCGTTCGAATTCCACGATGTACTTTAGACTATTTCAAACGAAGAAGCAGTCCATACTCAGATACTGTGTACTTCTGTTCTTTGTTCTATTAATATTAGGGTGCCCGTGTAGGCTTGAACAATTAATTATACAGACTCGCATATGGGGATCTTCCGCCACTAGTTAAACTGGGTAGTTGCCATTTGATTTCGATAATGTGACTTAAAACTCATCAATAACAAAATATAATTCTTTATTACAAAGTATGGAAACGAGTATAATAAACATAGAAATATTTTATAATATATGTGCAACGCAGTATGCAACTGTATATAGCAACAGAGGTAAAAGCAAAACAAACAGCAAGAACGCCCATTCTAACACTACCCCAACCTCGAGGAGAACAAATGAGGTCAGGCACATGAGGTCATCTTGGGGATAAACGTTGATTCGCATTGCCATGACGACACTTCCTGTAAATGTAAAATGAATTTCCATGCTTAATGTTACAGAAGTTCTTGAATCAAGTATTAAGTTATCAAAAGCCATCACATTAATTAACGTATTCACAATTTAAAAGCTTTTTCAATGTAGGGAAAAATTAAATCAAGTTATGATGAGAAACAGCTGAACATTTAACCAAACAAGACATTGCAAAAGGCGATAGTTGCTCACCGAACCTGCAACTTTGTCAATGTTCTTCAATTTCACCACTGGTAACCTTGATTTTTGACCTAAGCGACTCTTAACTCCACCCAAAATTAGAGGACCACCAAAAGGTATGTGCATACCTTTTTTCGGAGGGCATGATAATATACTCGAATGTATTAAACAATTTCAATCTAATTTTCGGAGTAACTATTTCTTCTCGACAACATTAACATCTATTCTTCCGAAGAGGACGTTCTTGCAATCAAAGTAATATAAAAACAATAAAATAAGTAAATAAGAATTTCAAATGTAATACCTATAACGGCGGCGGCTAGCCTCATGATAACTATTACGGCGAAAGTTATACCGTAACCTTGGATATCAGTCTTTTTTATACAGCCACCTATTCGTTTCGTCCACTCCATTATTGTAATTGGAAATACGAATACAGAGAGAGCGCCATCTGTTATCAAGAAGATATTTATGTACAACTCACTACTGCACTGTGTCAAACCAAGAAAACCTGTCCAGAAGTTAGAAAATAAAATCGTCGTGAAATTAGAAGATACAATCAAGTTTTCAAAGTACATGTATGTGATTTAAATATAGAACTGTTAAAGATATATTAGATCAAAATTTACCATCACGGAAACATTGTAAGCTGAACATTTGACTTTGCGCCGCGGTAAAACAGGATAGTGAAAACCGTTAAGGAACGCTAGCTTATTCTATGAATTGAACGCCATTATTCAAACCTTTTTAATAGTATTTCAAGGTAAAATTAACACAACGGTTAATCTCTGACTTGAATCTTAACATAAAAATTTTTAATTTTCTTATCCAAAATTTGTACTCAAAATGGACTTAATACATATCTAAATAAATCCGATTCTCTTAAAGGCACATTTTGCCTAAGAAATCCAATTCTCATGAAATGTCAAACATGTATTTTGTAATGTTTAAATAATGGATTCAGAGCATAAAAGATGTCAAACAACTAAAGAAGGTAGCACTGAACTGACAGTAATATCAAAATGTAAGCAAAATAGTATGTTCGCTATGTACAAAATACTAATTCACTATAAACATGCTAGTTGCCAACAGAGCAAAAGAAAAATCAGATAGTTCAATTATGCTGCAAATGAGTACATTTGGAAACTGTAACAAGATACCAAAAATTAATAAACATGATTGCATTTCTGAGGCATTATGGGCCTTTAACTAAAGAGAACATTAATCAGGACGTTTCTGTATACTTAAAGTCTACTTAATTGTTTGGTTAGGTTTCAAGCCATACCAAAAGCCCTAAGGTAAATTAAACGTAGTTACATTTTTTGCTTTTTTAACTTTATCTATGGAATCATTCACTCTCGGCATTGGATATTTATCAGTGTTTGTTATTGCATTGATCTGACGATAGCCTGTGAAAGACTATCAGAGGAAGGAGGGTTCTAACATTGTCAAACATGTTATCAGAAAAAAATTACCTGCACACATGTAGGTGATACCGAAAAGTACATACAGGAAAACGAATATCATTTCGTCACACCGGCAGTCTGTAATGAATAAAGTTACAATACATGATGGAATTTTCCCTTAAAATACGCAAACATTTAGTATTAATATTAATAACATTACAGCTATCAGCTTGCCTATATGTTCCTTTACGTGGCCCATTATTATATTGCGTATATATATTATGTATTGCGCATGTCTTTTTGCTACAGTTTTTTTTCCTGTTACGTGACTACCTCACTCATTTCTTAATTTACGTTTAAGGGTTATTTAATATTATTGAGCGGTCAGAAATGCTATAATGCAAGATATATACGTATTTAATACTCGGTATCCCTACTCATATACAAAAGCGCGCCACTCATACACAAGAGCGCGCTTGAATCGAACTTCCAAAAGAAATGTTGTAAATAAATCATTTGAAAGTCATGCATGTGCCTACAATAGATATAACTTTTATCAAGTCACTAAAATGTCTTACATGAGCAATATTTGTGGTTGATATCGTTCGCCACTTTATGCCTAAATCCAACAAGTCCCTGAGAATTCCTCCAATGTTTAATCAACATTTCAGAAAACGTCAGGTCCATAACACTATCCCTTCTCTGCATCGGGGGTCTCTGGGTTGGTGATGAAATGCTATACGTATCCGCTGGGCTAGACAAGGGAACGTGACTTGTACCACTGTCAAAGGAATGTATGCCTTCATCAATGCTTTCTTGTCCTGAAACAGTGATATCTTTCCTTATAATAGTCCACCATCCTCTGATTTTAAATACAATTAAACTGTGATTTGCCAGTGTCTGGCATTACCGTGCTTAAACATTTGAGACACAAAAGGATGGTTTGCCAGTATATAATAATTAAATACATGTAATGTTTTTATCACAAGCCTATCATTTTCTTGCAGACTTCCCAAAATACATTTTACACATTATTCATGCTGATGCACGAGGGGTGTTGTTCAAATTTGAGTGCATATAAGCTCGAAATATTATTCTTCATAGCTTCACTGAATTTTTAGCTCACCTGAGTATGCTCAAGGTGAACTATTGTGATGCCCCTGTGTCAGGCGTCCGGCGTCTGTCGTACGTCGTTAACATTTTTACTTAAACGGTATTTCCTCCTAAAATCTAACACCATGCAGTAGTGATAAAGCTACATAGGAATGACCCAGGAAATTTACGACTGAGCATGCTGTTACAGAGGGTATGGTCTAGTCAACATTTGTGCCAAGTTTCATCAGTATTGAAGCATTTTTCATAGTTTCATAGCAGTTTGAACTTGTTACGGGTGGCTTTTCAATGAAAACGGCTTTTTTCCCGCAATATGCTCATGGGGTAAAAGGTTAAGATATGAACAAGTTTTAAAAGACCGGAATCAATATTTAATGTACATGTAGTGTTCCAACACTGTTTTTTGTCTACTCTATTCAAATTAATACCTGCAATTGCAAAATGAAGCTTTGCTGGATTTGTAAATAAAACATCGAAGTCCGGCGGAGTGAAGACCACGGATTTGGTTTTTGTTTTTAGTCCAGTATCTCCGTCTGTAGGCGAGACTGGGTTTGAGCCGATTGCAATGCCTTCATCAGATGTTTTTCTTTGAAAGCGTCCAGTTGTCACAGACGGTGGACCTTTGCCTTCCGGTGAGACATTATAGGAAGTTGCCCCTGTAATAAAACAAAAGTAATAATCTTAGAGCGTTCTGAGTTAAGCCATTTATAAAACAGTTGATGCAAATGAAGATTTGATTTAAAGTGACATTATGGCAACCCAAGTGAGTGCACAGTTTAAAATAAAAACTGAATACATTTTGTCATAATTGTGATCAATTTTATAATTGACAATGCAAAAAGCATCAATAAATCACATGACCCACGGAAATTTCTACAAATAACGTAAGAAAAGTATTGTTTTAACGTATAAAGCTAACACTCAGTGAGAAAAGTAAAATTATTTTCATTATTTTACAGTTTACATAGTTGGTAGAGGTACTGATTATCACCAGAAAATGACCCCTGATGATTTTCAGGTCAGTAGATCAAGGTCAAGTTCACATCAAATTGGCTCTTTTGCCTGCAGTGGGAGGGTAGTGATGCTCAAGAAATGACCCCTTTTTGCCATTTTGGTTGTCGTCATTGTAGGAGTTGTTGTTGTAGTCGTAGTAGTTGTGTAGTAGTCATCGTCAGAGGTGGTCAAAGTCGTCGCCTTCGTCTTAGTCGTAGTTACCGTTGTCGTAGCCGAGTTGTCATAGCCTCGTTGGTGTTGTTAGTATTTGAGGTCGTAGAAGTTGTCGACTGTGTATTCGTAGAAGTATGGAATTGAAGTCATAGTAATGCAGTAATGATATAGCTGTGATCGTAGTCGCAACCGGTGCATTCGTGGCTCGTAGAGGTAGAGGTCGTATATTAAAGGTATTTGTCGCCAAAGTTGTAATTGTTGTCGTCATAGTCATAACCGTACTTAACATTGTAATTGTCGTAGTCATGGTCGTTAAACGATGTTGTAGTAGCCATAAACGTTTTAGTTGTAACCGAACTCGAAGTCTTTTAGTCGTAGAACTTGTAGTCGCCCTGTAAAGTTGTAGCTGTATTGGTAATCGTATATGTCTAGAATAATTTGGTCGAGGTCATCCAAGGGGGAGAATCACGCCGTTCGTTACCCAAACAAACAAGATGGCGGATGCAGCCAAAAAGTAGGTTTTTCCCCTTTTTCTCTGAAATTCGTGATGTTCTAATGTAAAGGTACATATAACAACCTTCTCCACAATTTTCCTGGCACACAGGATTTTATTTCATGATGTTTCGTCCCGTACTTCATCTGAAATGCGCGTCACCAGATTCGAAGCGAGAGAATTTTCCACCGGTTTGATCGTGGTAACGTACGGCTTTTTCTCTCAAATTCACTGTTTCTTTTACATATATGTATATTAACTGAAACCACTGACTTTAAAAAGTTGTAATATGTTGTCAAGTAAGCAATCATGCCCATTCTGGCTAGATTTACTGCTGTAAATATTAATATCGGGGCATTTTCTGGAAATGATAACGTATGGCGCACAAAATATCAATGATAACGTACGGCGCATTTTACTACTTGGTGGATTTCCATTTGTCCAATCAGCTGATAATGAATTATTTTTATGTAGGAAATGATAGATAGCTGGAAAAAATGTTGGTCAGGTCAGAAATAATTTGTTGAACAATGCTGCACCATCGGATATAAATATCTTTCTAGCTAGTGGCATAATAGATATTCGTTGGTAATATACCAATTAAAACACGTGTATAGATTGAGAATATTTTGTTTAAAATGCAGAATGGAAAGAAAAGCCTCCACTTTCAGAGACATTTGTGTATTGTTGTCTTCACATTAAATTTCACCAGTGTTGTGCGATAATTATGGTCTTATCCCCTTATCAGAAAGAAGAAATGCATTCATCAGAGCAAAAGTGTTAAAAAGGTACGGACGGCTTGATATATTTTCTTTTCCAAAGAAAAAGTCTTAAATTATTCCTAACAAATTTCTGATAAGGAAATCTTAATATTTGAACCCGTCAAACATAAACAAAACGAAAAGTGATTACGACTAGCTTGAGATGAGCCTGTGTTTATTCCAGAAAAATACATAACAGAGAATAATGAATAAGTGTAGGTTCTATTTTGAATTTATTGAATGAGTTAGAAAATAATGTTATCCGAAAAACTTCAATGAATTTAGTTATCGCCTGGTTTGGAACTTTTCCTTTGTTCTTACTAACCCTTTATACTCAGTACACTTCAATGAGCATTTGAAAACTGTATTGATATATAACAGTACAGATTTTTCATTGATTCATATACGAAAAAAACTCGACTGCTATATAGTGTTTGAGTTTTTTTCGCACCTTGTATATATCAATGCAGTTTATTTCACAGAGGCTCCAATGGGGCAGTGGTAACGAACATTCCCAGTAGCAAAAAAGTGGAATCAATAAAATAAAATAAAATAAATAAATACAATGAAAAAAAAATAAACAAAGATAATTAATGAAATGAAATTTACTCTCATTTAATCAAAAGGTACATCCGCTAAATGAATTATTTTCACTGAAAAAAAAGCCCTTTATATCTTGAATCAATATTGGTAACAGTTTACAATCCGCCTCTACAATTGGATGTCTTTTGTATATATATTGTTTTTGCGGCAGCGAAAACAACTTGAAAAAACTGCATTATCATAAATAACTATAATGTAGCCAACGATTAATTAATTTATTTTATTTTTCATTTATTTTTTTACATGAAGTACAAAAAAGAAAACATTATGCCATTCCGATAAACAGAAACTTTCTTATTTAGTAATAGTTATAGTACATGAAACTCGTTAGTTACGATATATTAACGTGACATAGCCTTACAGTTTTTTTTTATTATAGTGGACAGCAGACATTTTATTTTATTCCAATAGGCTTTAAAGCCGATGATGACATTAAACATGCACAATAACGAACAGTTCATATAAACATATATATATGCATAATATCAAAAATCATGAAAAAGTTTGGAGAAGATCAATTTTGATTGATAAAGTAAATACCAGCCGAAATTTTCTTAAGTAGTTACATAATGAACATTTTCATATCAAAATTGATCTTTAAACCACTAACTTATAGGTCTCTTGTATATACATATATATACATACACACATATACATGTACATACATACAAAAAACATACATTACATGAATCATTAATGCAAAATTGTTGTATATTAATTGATTTTAATACATAAACGCAATTACCATATGTTTATACACATATCCTAAAAAATGAAGGTCCCTTCGCATCAATTGAGGATTTCATAATTGTTAATGAAAGGAACGTCATAATTTGATTAAAACAATTACATGCAAGTATTTGCCTATCATATTCTGGCGTGTTTTTTTCCACAAACGTCCCAACAAAAACGATAATTTCTTTTAAAAAAAGTATTGCAGGTATCAGCAATAAAAGAGTGGCATTGGAATTTGCTTATTAATGTCTAGTGTTAAACATTTAAACGACCATGAAATATAAAGTTTCAAATCGGATTTGGATTTCGATGTTTTTATCCATGCCGGAAAACCCGTCTGAAACCTTTAATGCCAGACCGCTCATGTGCCTAGATGACGTCATTATCTTTATGAAAACACGGTTTTAAAAATTATTACACTACTCTTAATTTAGTGTTTGCGAAGTAAATGTTAGTGTTCATCCGTGTTGTTCTACAGAAATTAGAAACTTCGACGGGAGCGATAGCGACCGGAGAATTTTTCTTTTTTCTGTATGTTACGGTTTAAAACTTACTTTATTTCGTCTAATTACCTGTTCATTTGCTCAAACGCGGCTCTATGAAGCACTAAATAAAAAATAGAAGGCTGCTATGAATGGACTTTGATATATCATAGACTTTTGTTCTTCTATGAAATACAGCGCTTTCATTGGATGACAAATAAAGCTGGACACTTATATTATTTATTTCAGTTTCTTTATTTGGTTCTACACCTCCTGTTATGTCTTGTAAACATAACTTTTCTATTATATAGAAAATCAATTAATCAGAAAAAAATGCGCCGTACGTTATCATTGATATTTTGTGCGCCATACGTTATAATTTCCAGAAAATGCCCCGATATTAATATTTTCAGCGGTTATTCTAGCCAGAATGGGCATGAATGCTAAGATGACGACATATTACAACTTTTTAAGGTCAGTGGTTTCAGTAAATTGACATATATGTATACGAAACAGTGAATTTGAGAGAAAAAGACGTACGTTACCACGATCAAACCGGTGGAAAATTCTCTCGCTTCGAATCTGGTGACGCGCATTTCAGATGAAGTACGGGACGAAACATCATGAAATAAAATCCTGTGTGCCAGGAAAATTGTGGAGAAGGTTGTTATATGTACCTTTACATTAGAACATCACGAATTTCAGAGAAAAAAGGGAAAAACCTACTTTTTGGCTGCATCCGCCATCTTGTTTGTTTGGGTAACGAACGGCGTGATTCTCCCCCTTGGTCATCGTCGTCGTAGATTACGATTTGTAGTCGTAAAAGTCGTGGTCGAAGTCGCGGTCGTAGTTGTCCGCCAATCGAAACATCCTCGGCTATTATTCATTATCACTTATCCGAAGATTGACGGAAAGGGCCGAAATGTTGCGATTGATTTGTCCGCGTAGAAGGCATGTTACATGTAAAAAGATGCAATTAAAAAATAAGAAATAAATTTTAAAAAACAACAACAACAAAAAAAAACCCAACAAAAACATAAGCACTAACATATGAAAAGCCGGGAAGATTTCCCGCGTGAAAAGTAAACAGAAACATATCTACCTTGATTACTGTCTGTACATCCATAATTATCAAAATACATTATAAACTCATACAAAAAATTTCAATGTTGCAAAATTAGCAATTTTATTAAAACCATTTTTCCGTTTCTTTTTCTCGTCCCATATTTACGCATGGGTAGCTTTCAATTGGATTATCTTATGTAATGTATAGATAAATACGATGTTTACTCCCCGGGGTAAAAAAACCAAAATCAACAAGCCGTATAAACGACAATAGTCCGACTATTATTCTTTTTTTCCTTGATCAGAGATAGTTTATATGTCTTTTCACGGCTGCTTTTGAATTGATAATT